TAGGTTCCATTCCCAGTATGAAAGAAAGAAGGAAGGACAGATCCCTGAAAAGCCATGAAATCTCATAATTCATTACTTTGCTAGGATTCAAAATGAAGCCACTTCACTGGGATTCAAAACTAATTCACTCCTTTCCATTCTCCTGCAAGACTACTGTATTGGAGGAGAAAGCCACTTTACAAGTCCAGTGTCTCAATGTAGATTTGTTGATATTTACACATGTAATTATTCTCTTTGCTAAGTATAAAAAAAAAATGACCTCTACAGTAGCCAACCAGTGCTACGCTTAAGACATTTAGGCAAGGGATAGTCTAAGCTGAGTTCAATATTTCCCAAACCATGGCCCACTGGAAACTATTCCCAATATTAATAGCTCTGATAAACAAAAGCAAGAAGAGGAGAAGGAGTAAAATCAGGGGAAGAAAAGGGAAAATGGGAAAAAGAAGAGAAGAAAGAAAAACAGAGATCCAAAATGAGCTTAGGAAAAGCTGCGTTCTATTTCCTTCATTTTCCGATGCTCTCGGTAATGATTTGCTTTGTGACCCTTCACACATTAAAGCCCCTGAGAAATCTTCCAAGGAGTAAGTTTGCTTTGTTTTGTTTAATTCACTGCTTCTCAAACTTATTTGAGAACATTCATCTTTCTCATGGCACATAGTATACCGTGAAACACCACTTTGGGATTCATAGAATCCTTCGATGAGTCATAGAATGATTAAAAGTAGAAAGTCATTTAAAACATTTCTACCTCGTTGAATCTCGCTTTTACAGGGGATATTATATGCAATCATAATGTTCTTGAATCAGGGCTTCCTGTAGGTTTGGCAACTTATCTCGCATAAGAACGCATTAAAATCATCTGCAAATGTGATATTTTCCTTTTCTCATTCCCTTTTCTCCTCTCTGGCCATTTGGTACAATTTATTGGTTGTCCTTTATGCATAACTATTTCAGCAATTCTGTCCTCTGCTATTTATTTTACATTTTTTTTTAGCAAACCTATCTGTAGTCCTCACTGTGTACTGTTCAGAGTAGCTTTATTAATAACTGCTTGTGCCTGAAATAACCCCATGAGTTAGGTGCCATTATTACTATCCCATTTCACAGGTACGAAAAAGGAAGTTTCACATGACAATGAGGTATTCTTGCCTATATCCTATTCCTTAAAGAAACTGTCACTAATATATTTTTCTTCAGGCATATTATTGGTTTTAATTGTAAATATGAACTTCATATCATGTAAAGGAAGAAAATCACCTTTCTTTCTTATTTGTTTTAGTCAACATTAAAAATTGAATTGTACTGAACACTTTTCATAATTATCTTTCATAATTGTCTCCACTGAAACAAGTGTTTTCTACCATTTTTCAGTTAGTAAAAGAAAGATGCTCACTTTGCTTTTCTGAGGCCAACAGTCTTCAGTTTACAGTTGGATTCATTGTTTCAACGTGATGAAAGATTTTATTTCTAAATTCGCTCCTTTCCTTTCTCTAATGGGGGAGGGGAAGCAAATGGCATTTTCCTCAGTCAATTCAGTAGGTGAATATTGATGCAGTGGCTACCAGGTTACTCTGCACTAGACACTGTAGAACATGTAAGATCAAAATACCCATAACATGAGAAAGAAGGGCCGGAGGAGCAGTTTTCTAGAACCAAACAGGGAGAGGAATTTGAGAACGCTGGAAATTTCCAGAAACTGTGGAAATTCCTGCTTGTTATTCTATGACTCTATTTGAGCTCCCCCACAATAAAGACTTAAGGTATTACTTAAATGAAAGAGGCCCCAGGTCATCTGACTGGCAACCAGAGGCAGTGGCAGCACCATAATGGATTTGTCCACAGCCATCTTCTTAGCAGCTATAACCTCATCATCTGGCCAATTGCCCAACACACAGTAAGTGTTCACAAAAAATGAGCCCACTCTTTGATCAAACCAACTAACCAGGCCAGTTTTTAAATACAGGACAGCAAAAGACTTGTTCAACAGATCGGAGGAAAAGAGGCACTTATGAAAATACCACCCTCATATGAAGCCAATCTGGAGATGGGGAAGGGGAGCAGGAAGCTTGGAGGGAGCAGGACAACAGAAGGAATCCCTGGGGACTGCAGAAAGAAGAAAGCACCATGAGGTTGTTGGTAGCCTTCAGTCCCCTAGAGACATGTCCAGGCACCCCCAACCTGAACCAGGCAGTTGGTCCTTTGCTTCCCAAGGACTCTGCAATCTCAAGCCAAGGGGAAATTGGTCTACGCCACACAAAGATCATATCCCACAGAGAGCTCATGGGGTCAGGAATTAGGGACAATCAAGGAAAAAAATAGGGTTCCTCAAAAAAAGCCTTCAGCCCATCATCTGATCCTGGAGACCACAATACATTCAGACCCAGAGAAACAGATGTCACATAGCAACTCAAGAGACAGCTCCCGTCCAGTGAACAAACATTGAGTACCACATACATTTCTCTACTTTCTTCCCATTCTTATTCATGTCTTCAGTTTCAACCACCCTTTTGCTTTCCCCTGCTCCATTCCAAGCTCTCTCCATTTTCCCTTTGGGGTCTACCTCCTCTGTCCTGGATTCTGAATCCATCAGAATCCTACTCTGACTTCTCCCACGGGGCCTTTTGTCCTCTCTCCCAGTCTGCTCCTCTCCCCTGCCCCTGTCCCCAGGCTGCCTACCCTTGCTCCCTTTCTTCCCTTTGCCCTATCACTAGGATCCTGTGGGTGGCTGTGAATTCTGCCTGAGTACTTCGTTCTCTCCTCTCTCATCTTGGTGGGGTCTATAGCCCGTTCTCCTGTTGCTCAGAGATGTGGAGGCAGTTGCTAAGAGACAGTGAAACGTCATTACCTGGCCCTCGAGGAAAAAAAGGGGAGCGAAAAAAGGGAGAGAGGAGGGGGAGGGATGCAGGGAGGGGGAGAGAGGGAGGGAATGGGGAGGGAGGGGAAGACCTGTCTCTGGCGGAAGCCACAAACCCGGGCAGCCTCAGCACCAGCTGAGTTTCAGAAAGAAGCATTCAGATTCTGTGAACTTTCTTCTAAGCATCCTCTTTCAGGTTCCCCTTTGGGGTAAAAGAAGGGGCACGGGGACCACAGGACGGGAAAGCACAGAAGATGCTGGCCTGGGATCCAGGAGACCTGGAAGAGGAGAGCCGGGGGAGGGGCAGAGCCGAGTAGGCAATCTGTTCTGGAGCCAGCGAGCGAGCGGGGATTCCAGGATGAGGGAGGGAGACCCGTGTCTGCTGCAGATTGATGGCTGTGTCCTTGGAACAGAGTGAGTAGGCTCCCGAGGGCCTGTGGGAGTGTAGCGGGAGACCTTAGGGCTCAGACAAATGAGTCTGAATAAAGGGGCACCAGGGTGATTTCCCAGCGAGTGAAATTGAGACTGGAAACAGTGGGAAGAGAGGCAGTGCCGGAAAGAAGGGTGAGGGGAGGACAAGTGAGGACAGATGGTGGGTGAGGAAGAAGCCGAGGCCACCGAGGGATGGGGTGGGCAGCTGGGCGAGGCCCGGGTCCGCCCTGCTTCTCCATCCCTCCGCCTGACCAAGTGAGGGTGTGGGCTCAAGCTGGGGGCAGGGAGCGGGAGAGCGGAGTGTTTGTAGAAAAGGATGCTGGGATTAGGGGTGGACATTGGGGGGGGTGAAAGGTGGTGGGGCATTCTGGGGAGGGGGCTCTGCATGGGTGCATGTGCAGAGGGAAGAGCGACAGAAAACTGGGGAGGCGTGAGCCTTGGCCACTGCAAAATATGAAGGAGTCACGGAAGAATTGTGTGTGTGTATGTGTGTATGTGTCTGTGTGTGTGTGTGTGTGTGAGAGAGAGAGAGAGAGAGAGAGAAAGGAGAACGGTGTTAAAAGTGTTTGAAAGGCGTGTGCAAACAACCACAATGTGGATGCATGTTTTCTCAGGGAGTTGTTCAAGGGTGGGGTGTTTGATGCTGATGGGGGTGGAGTTGTGAGCAAGAAAAGAAACGCATCCAGCCCAGGACAGGCAGGAGGGTGGCTGTAGGTCGGGTGGGGAAAGTTAGTGGGTGACACCAATGTGAGGCTGGGCTCTGAGTTCACCACCATCCACATCTGAAAGACAGTAAATAGAGAACTTTATGGCTGGGGGTCAAAGAAGAGAGAAGGGGATGGGTGAGGTAGGACAAGGGCAAAGGAAAGGGGGACTGGCTTGGAGGGCCCTGTGTTTCTCTGCCTGAGTGCTTTCCTTGTTGACAGAGTGGATTCTGCCTCCACCTGCTGAATGCACAGCCACGCGGAGGCACCAGCTTGGAGAAGGAGCCAAAGCTCTCCTAGCTGACCCCGAGTCTTGTACCTCTAGTACCCATGGCTCTTTCCAGCTCTGGTGACCTGGGCAATGGGTGTCATTTGGGATCCTCCTCACCATGAGGAACAAAGAGCATCCCTGGGGATTCCAGCAGCCACTGAGGCTAAAGATTCAGACTTTCAGAAGGCCCGTGGAATCCTGCTTCCTCCTGGGCTCCCTTCCCGAAACTCCTACCCCAGGACCTCCTTGAACTCCACCCTGCTGGACCACAGAAGAAATGACCTCTGAGACATCAAATGCTGGAGGCCCAGGTGCAGCTCTGACTTCCTAATCAGTCTCAGGCCCAGACAGGGCTGAAGTTTCCTTAGAAGAAGTGCCAGGACCTTTAAAGGGCACCTTTCATCTCTCCCTCGCCCTCCCTCCCACCTCTCAGACATAGCACCAAGAGGAAGCACCCCACAGACATGGGTGAGAGGGGCACAAAAGACCTGCAGGGACCCTCCCAGTACCTGCTGACAGCAGCTCCAGATCCATCCTGGTCTCCTTTCTTTCTCCAGTTTTGATCATCTTTTCAGACCCGGGGGGACCTTGGCTGGGTTTCTTGCCCCCTAGGCTCCAAAGGGGACTTCCTGTGGCTCTTGGGAAGTCCTTTGGTGCTTAGAGGTCCCCAGGAGACGTTTGGGCCATGATACCATGTGCTCAGACGCCCCACTTTCAGGACCCAGGCCTCTGATGTAGCTGCCGTCCTGCACACTGACTGTGGGATCCACGGACACAAGCCCGATGGGCTCCCTTCAGCACTGCCGCTGCCAGCTACCCAAGATAGGTGACACCTGGGCCCAGCTTCCTTGGCCTGGACCTCCCCAACCAGCCATGCTGCTGGTCTCCCTTCTTTTGGCAACTGGGGTGATGCGCTCAGATGCGGGATCCAGCTGCCCGGTCCTTTGCACATGCCATAACCAGGTTGTGGACTGCAGCAGCCAGCGGCTATTCTCTGTGCCCCCAGATCTGCCGATGGACACGCGCAACCTGAGCCTGGCCCACAACCGGATCTCGGCCGTGCCACCTGGCTATCTCACATGCTACATGGAGCTCCGGGTGCTGGATTTGCGTAACAACTCTCTGATGGAGCTGCCCCCGGGCCTCTTCCTCCATGCCAAGCGCTTGGCACACCTAGATCTGAGCTACAACAACCTCAGCCATGTGCCCGCTGACATGTTCCGGGAGGCCCACGGGCTGGTACACATCGACCTGAGCCACAACCCGTGGCTGCGCAGAGTCCACCCCCAGGCCTTCCAGGGCCTGGTGCAGCTCCGAGACCTGGACCTCAGCTACGGGGGCCTGGCCTTCCTGAGCCTCGAGGCTCTCGAGGGCCTGCCGGGGCTGGTGACCCTACAGATTGGGGGCAACCCCTGGGTGTGTGGCTGCACCATGGAGCCCTTGCTGAAGTGGCTGCGGAACCGGATCCAGCGCTGTACTGCCGGTAAGGGACTTGGCCAGTCAGGGCCACCGTGGGGAGGGGAGACTTGGAGCTCCCGAGTGTCTTGTGTGTGCCCTGGTCCCTGCTTGCCTCTTGGGCACGTGCTCTTTCTGTCAACAAGTTTTTTGTTGAATTCTTGGAGAGCATGAGAAGTGCTGGGGACCCATCCCCTCATGAAATAGAAGGCCCCTCGCCTCTGTGGCAGCTACTACCTAATGAGGCAGACAGAGAGTAAACAAGCAGGCATAACTGACTGCAGATGACATTTAGGAGGCTTTTACCATGATTTAAGAATTTGGCCTATAGCATCTCTTCCAACCCCTTTTTTATGATCCCTATTTTACAGGTGAAGAAACTGATTTAGAACAATGAAGAGGCTTGCCCAGAGTTGCTCATTTAGAAAGTGGTAGGGCCCTAGATAAAACCCAGTTTTCCCTGACTTCTAAGCCTCATTCTACTCCACCAGGCTGCTTTTTAAGTTGAGAGCGCTGGGAAAATCCTAAGAAACAGCAATGACCAACACTATTTATTTGAATACTTACTATCTGCCAGTCCCTATTCAAATATGTCACATAGTTGAGCTTCTCCTATCTTCCTGTGAGCCCTAGTGAGGAAGGGAGGAAACCAAGGAGGAAAGGAGAAAACCAAGGCACAGAGAGGTTCATTTGCTTGCTCAAAGTTACACAGTTCCTAAGTGTTGAAATCAGGATTCTGACACTGAAAGTCTAGCTGTCCTCTGGCCAGATCCCAAGAGTCAGATTCTGGACTAACAAAGCCCAAGTTCTGGACTGGTCAAGGGTCCTCAGCGGAGGAGGTTTGGGCATGAGGCCTGGGGGAAGGAGCTGAGATGTGGCAATTTAACCCATCAGTCCCAACTGGAGAGTGGATTAGAGCCTAGAAGGAGCCCAGGCATGCAGGTTTGATGGGTCCTGGTGTCACCCAGTGGTGTCCAAGCCTGGCCCAGAGGCAGGAAGAGTTCAACAGTGGTCTCAGCCTCCAGCTCTCCTATGTGACAGCCCTGAGCCTAAGCCCAGGTGCCCAGCAGCAGGATGACAAGAATCCTTCCCAGAATCTGGGCTCTGCATATTTGGGGGAAGTGAAGCTAAACGAGGTAGGAGGAAGAGGAGGACTCCTCAAGAGCCCAAGACCAAAATAGTGTGGGGGCGGGGGTGCAGGTCACGATTCCAGTGATTCCACAGAGCTGTGGGAGGAAGTTCTCCCAGATGGAAATAGCTGGGACTGAGACCGGGTGCTGATGGGGGCAGGAGGGGCACCTGCCTGGAGACACCTTCCCCCCAGCTCAACCTCTGCCTTACCTCTCTCTCCTGCAAACTAACGACAGAAGGGGCCCTTGGGGTGCTCAGCTTCCACCGGGCTGGGAACTCCTCTTTTACTGGGATCTCTGAAGCCCCTGTTGCCCTAAAGAAGTCCAAACTCCCAACAAGCAGGAGAGAACTCCAAGATCTCCTCCGTGTAGCCCCACACAGTGGTACAGGGGAGGGACCTAAGCTCCATAAAGGGAACAGTGACACAGATCCACAGTGAGAAAATAAACAGGCCACGCCTTGAAACCCAGACCTCCTGATCCTCCATAGAACACACATACAGCACGCCACTCCCACCAGGTTTCTTCTTGGGAGCAAAACCTTGCCAGGACAGGTAGAACTAGTGATATCTCCCTTTAAGTCTTTTTCTATTACTTTCTCCCTTTTTTCTTTATGGGATTTTCACTATTATCCATGTTTTTTGTTTGGAAAAATTTAAACGTAAGATGTAGGGGAGTTATTGGGATACAATCTGACTTCAAGATTGGTCCCTTGACTTAATAAAGAGCTTTGTCAGCCCCCAGCCCCCCTGACCTGCATGCTGTATAGTTTACTGGGATTCTTCTCCAGCTGGCCTTCCTCCCCCAGTTCTTCTTGTCTCAGTATTACTATACCACTCATGGACCCAATAGACTTTGGGTTCAGCATCTTCCAGTTTCCAGAAAAGAGCTTCTTGCAGATCAACTCCAGACCCAATCCTGACCTGGGCAACATCTGGAGTCCCGTGCAAACAGACTACAGGAATGACTCCATCTGGGGCGTGGGGAAGCTTTCCTTCTCCACCCAAACCTGATCTCCCATTTCTAAGGATAATGGTGCACATCCATTTGTCAGAAGGATCAATCTGAGTCCATCATTCTGTTCTCTGCCCTCAAAAACTGCAGGATGAATACAAAACATTTATACACCCTATAATTTAAACACCCTATAATTTAAAAAAAAAAAAAAAAAAACTTTTTCACATTGACTCTCTTAGAAAAATCGAGGTTGGATTATCTCCTTTCTTATAGAGGCAGGACATGAGAGCCAGAAAAGGGGGAAAAACTTGCCCAAGGTAAGAACTCAGTTAATATTTATCCCCTGAACAAAAGCATGTCCAGCTGCTCTGAAGCTGGGGCTGAGCACTGCACAGCACAACAGACCCTGCCTGCCACTCTTACTTCCAAGGCAGAGTGAGATAAGACTATTGACAATCATCATGCATTTATAAAAGTGACCCTGGAAGGAGGAGGCAGGACCTTCAAGGCTGGAGAGAATAGCAATCCCACAGAAGGAGCAGCCACTCCTGAGTGTAGAATATGACCCCCAGGACCCATAAGAGACACCAATCTTCAATCATTTAAAAAGCTCGCACTTTCATAGAGCTTACTATGTACAAGGAATGTACCGCTTGTCTGTGCTAATTCACTGAATCCTCACTTACAACCCCAGGAGGTAGATACCTTTAATATCCTCTCTTGACAATTGAAACCAGGATACAGAGGGGTTAAGTAACTTACCACCATCACACAACTGATGAGAGGTGAAGAGGGGATTTGAAGCCAGGCTGACATCTCCAGAGCCTGTACTCCTAACCACGTATTCTGTGTATCTGGAAAAGCCACAGGGATTAGTAGAAGGACCCAAGGCCTTGTAATTGGACAGAGCCCTGCCATCATTTCACAAAGATTTATTGAGCACTTCCTATGGTGGGGACACTATTCAGAAGCTGAGGACACTACAGGAGGGGCTTATATTCAAGGAGGAGGGAAAGGCAATAAACAAGTTGCCAGACAGTGAAAAATGCCCTGGGAAAAAATCAAGAGGTGTGACAAGGAGTCTAGGGAAATATAGAGTTGCTATTTATACAGAACCCTAAGGCCACACCACTAAGGTGGTATCAAGCAAAGTCCCAGAGGAAGCGAGGGACTGAGCTGAGTCAAGACCCCGGAGAAAACTCCCTTACAGAGACAAATACAAAGTTAAGGGGACATGCTTGGGGTTGTGGAATAACAATCAGAGGCACATGCAGCCCGAGCAGAGTGAATAAGAAGCAGAGTAGAAGCTCTGTGCGAAGCTGGGAAGCCAGGGGAAGGAAGGTTTAGGCAGAGAGTGACATGACCAAGTTCAGGTTTGAAAGCATCACTCCTCTGAGTGTGTAGAGACAGAGACGAGCAGAGGCTAAGAGACCAGCTACCCCACAAAAGCCCAGCTCTGCATCAAGAGCACCTACGACACTTTTGACAAATTACTAAACTCTCCAAGCAGTGGTCTTTCACATCAATACAAATAGGTATGAAAATGTCTTGAGATTGTTAAGGAAAGGAGACCTTCTTTGGTCTCCTTTGGCAGATTATTTGGCACATAGAAGAAACGCAATGGCTTCCTTTGTCCTGGGAGGGGATGGGGTCTCTGCAATCCATTCTCCCTCCCCCAGGGGCCTCACCCTCCCTCGGTTCTATGTTGCAGATTCTCAGCTGGCTGAGTGTCGGGGCCCCCCTGAAGTGGAGGGTGCCCCCCTGTTCTCACTCACCGAGGAGAGCTTCAAGGCTTGCCACCTGACTCTGACCCTGGACGATTACCTCTTCATCGCATTTGTGGGCTTCGTGGTCTCCATCGCTTCCGTGGCCACCAACTTCCTCCTGGGCATCACAGCCAACTGCTGCCACCGTTGGAGCAAGGCCAGCGAAGAGGAAGAGATTTGACGTAGGTGCCTGTCATCCCTCCATGCTGCCGACTGCCACTGCTGCTGACCACTGGTCACCCTCCCCAGCTGCCCACTCTGGTTCCATTGTGCCCTGTCCACCTCAGCCATGGTTCAGACAAGTTCTGGGAAACTTCATGTGAGCATCTCTGTCCACTTTGGGCCAGGCACTGTACTAGGAAGTGGGAATGTAAGATGACTCCAACTCAGTCCCTGCCCTTGAGGCATGAGCTTCTAGTAGAGGAGAGAAATTCAGAAACTATCCCTTTATGACAATACATCAGTCCTCTGTGCACATAGTTATGGAAGCCCAGAGGACAAGCCAACCGAGCCCAGGAAGAATTGCACAAGTGGACTGATTTGTGAGATGGGTCATCAAAAAATATCCACTGTGTCAAGTAGACCAAGAAGGGTGGACATAAGCAGACGACAGAGGTCAGGATACTTGTGGAATGCTGAGAGCAGTGGACTATTCCTTGTGGTGTTAGCGTATACAGGGGTGTGGCCCAGGACCCAAACTTTCCCTCTGACACCCAATCTGTCTGCTCTCACTGCTGCCAACCATTGCCCCTGGGGAGCAAGAATGCCTCATGCCAGCCCCTTGGCCTGCTCCTACCAGCAGCCACCGGGTGAGACCACTTCCCAGGGACCGCCCCCAATATTATGCCACCAACTATAGCCCGCTAGTGAGGCCTGGGCAACAGGCTGAGGATGGACACCCCCAGTGTCTGTCCTCCTACACCTGTCTTCTGCCTCTCACTCAGTCTTGGTTTCAGAAGAGGAAGGCAGGATGCCCTAGAACTGGGCAGCAAGGATCCCGTCACCCTGAGACCCCAATTCTGTGACTGTTCTTGCCGTGGTGCTCACACCAAGGGATCCCACCAGGAAATTTCACAGTGAGCTACAGACCCATAGCATGACAGTCCCCAGGGCTGAAGGAGGACAAAGGCACCACAGCCGTGACCACAGGAGGGTTTGTATTTTCTTCTAAGCAACTCGTCCTTTGAAGCATTAGGGTAGGAGAGCTATTGGTTACTGAGCCCCCGCCAGTGTTAGGCACTGTGATGTGGTCTCTCCACAAACAATTCCCTTTAGCACACGCAACCGTCTTTTGAGGAGAACATCCTTGTTCCCATTTTACAGATGAGGAAATGCACGCTCAGAGAGGTTAAAGTCGTGTGCTACTTCATGATCAAAATAAAGTCTGTGCTCCTGTTGCTGCCCCATCCAAGTTGGGGAATAGCACAATTCCCTCTAAAGCTACATGAATTCGAACTCAAGCTGTGCTATCAACATGGCTAAAAAGGGCCGGGCAATCCTCCGGGAACTTTTATAACTATTGACTCATTTATTTCAATTCTCAACAGCAACACTGCCTGGTGGGTGTCATTATTTCCATTCTTCTGATGAATCCCTTGTCGATTGCTGAGTCACTTACCGACGGTTATCGGATAAGCCTTAGAAGAAAGATGATAGCCAACCCCGTTCAGGGAAACTAGATCTAATCAGTCAATCAAAAAATCAAGTGACTGTGCAAAGCACAACTCACGTCGTCATTGTCGCCATCTCCATCCAATCACCCGTTTCATCGGCTTCATCATGATCTCCCCCAGATAGTTCAGCACTGGATAGTTCAGGAAGTGCTTTTGCATCTTTCTCCTTGACTTTTCACAACCCTGTGCAGGAAGCAAACCAAACACCAATAATCCCATATTACAGGTTGGAAAACAGAAGCTCAAGATGGGTAGGACTTGCCTAAATGGCAAGGTTGGACTCAACTCCAATAGGGTTCTCTTTCCAGTGCTTTCCCAGGTACTCAGGAAAGAGAACACCTTGGAGGTCTAGAAGGTGAGGCCCTGGGGTTCAGCAGTCATGAACGCGCTAGTATTTGTGGGCTTCGTGGTCTCCATCACTAGTAAATCAAGTCAAATAAAGGGAGGAGAGCCCTGTGCACAGATCAAGATATGCTCACAGTGAAGCACATCACAGCCTTTTATATATACAGGTAGCACAGGTAACACTTGAACAGGAGATACCTGCTTTACAAAGTGCCAATAAAGCATTAGATCTGTCATGTAAAAAGTACGGTCTTTGGAAAGCAGGAAAACAAGCTGTACTATCCGCTCCTAATGAAATCCTGGTGTATTGTATATCAGGAGGTATCAAGAGAGAAGCAAAAACTATAGGTGGGAACCTTTGCAGAATGGGGAAAATTTAAAGCACAATCCAACATGTGGGCACAGCTGGCCAGGGTGAAAATGAACACAGGGGCTTTCTACCTTGCCCCTAGTCACAGCAGGTTTTCATCATCCCAAACTCCTGGTAGCCCTGAAATGGATTAAGGAGAACATATCATCTTCCAAGAAGTCTCCCACCACGCATCTGCCCTGAGCTAGTCAAATCAAAATAGTCCCTATGAACTTGAACCTGTGTCATCTGGGTCTCACTTATACCATCTGAGGGAGTCCTGCCCCTCTAACATCTGAAGCAAAACTGCGTCCTGTTCTCTCCTTCCACTATGGCCAAGGATGGTGGACTTAAGTTGTTCCCCGGTCAAGAACAGCTGAAAAGTATTTGGAGAAGAACTTTTAGAAGTAATGGTCATGACAAAATAGTTAAGCTTCTCATAGAGGAACACCGTAATCATCTATAATAATCTCCTGGGGACTGTGGTTTGCTGAAATATAGTTAATATATTTTAAGATATATACTTTTTCTCTTTTTTTGTATAGTACTAATGGTGTCTTTTGCAAGACAACAAATGTCCCTTGAGAAAAAAATGTCCTTTCTAATGGGAAAATTTGATCTCCATTAGTGGCAAAGATTTCTGAGCTGCCTATATGCTACTCCATCTGCTGGGAGGTCCCCAGTTAACTAAAGTGCGATGAGGAAAATAATCAACCTCCCTACTAGCAAGGAATTCACCCACCACCACCATCATCTTGTTCTAGCTGTCAGAACTAAACTTGTAGAAATAATCTACAAATTCTGGTTGGAATTATTCCCACACCCCTGATGACCTCAAACATTATTGTGTCCCCATAAGGTTTGATGCAGTCTGTTCCACTCTGGCTGACAGGTAGAAGATCTGTGTCTGTGTGTCTTTCTATACAGTCCTACATATGCTTGTAGTCCTTCTGGAATTTGGGTTTAACTCTCTGACACAGCTTGCTCACCCATCTGGCTGCTACATTGTTCAGTATACAAAGAGGAGAGCCAACCAACTTTGAAGTGGGTCTGGCTGCTCCAAAAACATACTAGAAAACTCTGGTAGAGGCATCCTTAGAACCTAACTCCTCTGTCCCCGCTTCCCTCTGTCTCTTCTATCCCGCAGAGGCTTGTCCTTGTCACGGACCTACATGAAGGGTCATGCTAGGCCTGAGGACATCAAAGCTTAATGAACCAATCATGATGGTCAAGGTTTGGCCAAGAAAATTGTTCCTCTGTAAAGGTCCCACATCCGTACCATGCCACTCTAACTCTGTCACCTCCAATTACCCTCAAACAAACTCTCACCTCCTTTTCCATTCTTGCCAGAGTTCCCAAGGAAGCTTGCCAAAATAGATCCCCAGAGATGCTATAGAGTTTCATGACCTCTTTCAAGGAGCTAAGTACATACAATTTAAACAGACCATCAGACCGACAGCCCCCATTTTCTCTGTAGGCATCATTCCTGACATTCCGGTGGTAGAAGAGCAGGAGACGCCATTGTTCATTCCTTGAAAGGACATCTTCCCAAAGCTAGGGAAACTTGTCTGTTCTTCCCACCCCAGAAAGAGGTGAAAGGGAAGTAAATGAGGCAAGTTGCAAGGTCCTTTTGTAAATCACCATCACATTTGCCACAGCACTGGTCGGAGAGTGGGATCCACAGAGCTCCCGGTCTTCCTAAGTGCTGATATCTGGAGGTGGGAGGGATCGGGAGGGAACGGGTTCCAGGGAAGATACCAACCTTTGTATGGAGATGATTTTATAACCATGCACTTTTGTAACTGTGAAGAATTTTTCATAAATGTACATTAATAATAAAGAGTGTATAGTTTAACAAATTGTCTAAAAAGTTGTGAAGAGGAGGGAGAGGGAGGGAGGCAGCAAGAGAGACAGATAGGAACTAGGTGGAACCCAAAGAATGAGTGCCAAAATATACACCCAAAAGGTCTATGGGGAGGGAGTAGATGAGAATAATTAGGAGATGTGCCAACCACCAAGGGGCCTGTGTGGGAGTAAAAGAAACATTACAGAAGCATATTTCTACCAGGCAAAAAAAGAATATGCATGTGTCTGTATGCACGTACCCCTGTGTGTAGGCATATTTTGGTATCTGAAATTACACAAAGAAGAGAGCATATGTTTTATACATGTTGGTGTTTGCAGTTTGGGTCATCTATAAAACACGCCAAGGCAAGTGGGTGTGCCTGCCTAATTAGCACCATTGAGGAGTGTGTGCCAGGAAAATGGCCCATGCCATCAGCCTGGGCAAAAGGACACTAACTCAGGTGTACAGGTCAACCAGGCATCTAAATGCCTGGTGTGGGGGATGGACAAGCCCATCATTGGTGTGAATTAAGTCTCTATTCTCATAAACTAATAATGAATGGAAAGGATTCTAAATCTCCTGAATCTTGCAAATGTTGCCCACACACCATCAGAAACAAGATGGTTTAGCAGTGTCCTTGGGAACAGGGACAGAATAAAGGAGGCAAGTATACTTCTGTAAGTTCAGTGGCAGCCATGTTTACCCCAGCACTCTAGAAAGGACTCTCAACAGGAAGTCACTCCAAGCAGAAGGTGGCCAGGAGCAGGAAGATGTTCCCTCCTCCAAGAGAGATGTCAGTTTCACTCTATTCCTCCCACTCCAATTGCCACAGGGTACCAAGGAATACTGCACTCACATAGTAAAACCACTAAAGGGGACACAGATGCTAACTCAGAACACTCAAGTAAACAGAGAAGATCCCCAACTATAATCAGCATTTTCTAGAGTAGGTTGAGAGGGAGGCAAAAC